TCTGCAGGCTCTCAGCCCTGTTCCTGACAATTTTTCCCCTTCTCTATTCCCCTTCTGCAGGCTCTAGCCCTGTTGCTTTCTGCTTTCAATTAACACAAATTAACCTTAAGTTACCCCAACTTCCTTCCAGTCTGCTGGTTCTAATCCCGGCACCAGCAACTTTCATTTCAGTCTCCACCAGCAGTAACCTAAAGTAACCCCAAGCCTCAGCTCCTCAGCCCAGTTCTCTCTCTAGTCTACTGGTTCTAGTCCCAGTCCCAGAAACTTTCACCCCCTAGAATTTCATTCTCTCTCACACCTTAACCTTCCCACAGGTATTCCCAAGTACACCAAGCAAATACATACACACCACAACACCCAAGTTAGGAACTCACCTGTGTGCATGTGTAGGTGAGTGGTATGTATGTGAACTGATATACACATGTCACCGTGTGCATGATATATGAATTAGTGATCCATGTACGTGCATTGGGTGTGCAAGTATTGGTAAGTGATTCTGGTCTAATTTGTTTTGGTTTGTATAGTGTATGTAGGTGCTTGAATTGGTGACAGGTGTGCATTTGCCTAGGCTGGTAATTTTGGATGTGTATGTACCTGAATTGGTTGTGTGTGTGCACATGCCTGTTGGGGGTGCATGCACCTGAAGTGTGTGTATGCACCCAGTTGATTTTTGAGTGTGTGCATATGCCCTCCCGTCTAACAGCACAATATTGAGATCCTGAGAGTTGGCCTGACCCCACAGGGCAACAGTATTAAACTGTTTTATAATGCTTTGACACATTTTCAAACTAGAACAAGATTTCTGTCCTTCCCAATGCAATAGCTGATCATTTATTTTCATTAAAGAAGTAATCAATTCCTATTCCTCATATCTTTACTCAGTTCTAGGCTGGCATCTAGTGACAAGGTTTGAATTCCAACTAAATGGACAGGCCTCAGACCATATCATGGTCATCAGCAGAAAGGGCCTGTGTATATCTGGAAGGATGTGCAGAGCAACGCTCATTCTAGAGGTGTGTTTGCTCATGGTCAAATGGGAAGTTTCTCAGTATGAATCCCCTGGTTGCACCCACTTCTCACCTACTGGATAGGTAACAATTAAGTGTCCTGTAAAATGTGTCCTAAGAAGTACTGATGGGATGCCTGTGTAGACCAAGTGTTCAAATGCTTACAGTTACTTTAAAATGTAGTTATGCAAGGGTGAACCGTACTCCAATAATGTTTTGGGTGTTCAAAGAGAATACTGGTGTTAATCTTTAGGCCGATACAATGTGGCCATTGCTTTTGTGACCCAATCACTTTGTTCCCAGGAAGTATTTAAGAACTAAAGACACTGGAACAGTAATTAGATGATCTGCATAACAGAAAGTGTCCTAATGGGTTCCTAAGTGAGAGGTCTGAAAGATACAATGCATGTATCATACACACAAAAGCTGGATGGGAGTAACTGGAAATATTGTGGGATCCCCTGGAAGTCAGAATCATAGAGCAATGCCTTCAAGAGGCATAGAATCATAGAATCAATGAGTCGGAAGGGACCTAGACAGATCATCTAGTCTGACCCCCTGCCATGGGCAGGAAGGAGCACTGGGGGTGGCAGGGGTCATAAGACCCCAGCCAGGTGCCTATCCAGTCTCCTCTTGAAGATCTCCAGGGAAGGTGAGAGCACCACCTCTCTGGAAAGCCTGTTCCAGGCTCTGGCCACCCTTACAGTGAAGTAGTTCTTCCTAATATCTAACCTATACCTATCCTCCCTCAGCTTGTGGCCATTGT